ATTGCACCTAGCTTTGGAGGGTGATGTGAGAGACTCTGGGCCGACCCCTGTGTTACATTCTCCTCATGTTTCTCCCTCCACCGCTTTTCCACTCTGGTCCTGTCAACCAGGCAGACCAAAACAGAAGGGGGGGGGGACAACCTTAAGAAGCAACAAAGATGGGTACCCAAAGGTTGGGTGGGAGAGAAAAAAATATTTTGAGAAATAAATTAAACCAAAATAAATGCATTTATTACAAAATACACGAAAACTGTACTTTAAAAAACATTGGCACAATCTGCCCTTGAAGTGGTTGACATTTGCACTAATAAGTCCTGAATTTTTATAATCTGATACATTTCGATATTTCTAGGTTTAAAACTTTGAACCAGTAAAACAGGACCAATAATTCAATATATCTAGGTTGATAACCTTGAATCACATTAAAACAGGACCAAATGCGTTTTGGCCTCCACGGCCTTCCTCAGTGGTCAAAGTTTTGTACATACATGCACGCTATAACATATAAAAACGTTAGTGCCATGGCAGGTTGATTATAAGGCATTCCAGATATCCTGTGTGGCAAAAGAATTGGGTTGTGTGAGGGCTATCTGCAGCACCTTGGGAGGGCAGGGGGGGAGGCTTAAGCCTTCCCCCTGTGCCATTTCCCCAACCTGAAGGGGCCCTAGGGAGCCACCGTTTGCCCCAGTGCAGAAACGGAATGTGTGCTGCTGATAGTCTAGTCAGGGCCCCCAAGGACAACCCCTTCTCCTTTCAGAGGGACATGCTTGCGACAGCAGCTGCTTTATTGAGTTTTGAGAAGACAAGTTTGTTGTCAGGGACCAAGAGCTGTAATGGAACATCTTGTTCTAAGGGAAGATAAATGGGCAGGGGAGAAGTGATGGGCTTGGGAGGAGCACAGAAAATTTGTTTAATAATGAGAGTAAGGCAAGAACATAGCCGAGGGTAATAAGGAAGGATGAATGCAATTAACAGAGCTTGAAAAGTAGTATCAATTCCAGCTGTTTTTCTGGTCTTTTATGATAACAGCGTGAGAAGTGTTGGTTTGCAAATGTCACAGTCTTAACGGTCACACATTACCGCTCCTCACTGTCCCTCCCCAAATGATAACATTCGAAGTGTATATACCTTGTGGCTTCTTGACAGGTTTTTCTGTGATTGAGTAAAAAAAGTTCCCCCCCCCCCCCCCCGTGAGGGAAGGCAATGTAACCTTTTCATCAATTTATTTTTTATGTTGCCTTGGGACAATGACTAAACTGTATATTTTCAGAACCATCCTGTGGTCCTGGGACTCTGACATGACACTAGGGTTGCCAGCTTCAAGGTGGGTTTGGAAAAAAGTAAACAACTGTGATGTATTATGCCAAAAAAGTCTCCAAAGGCCAGAAATTTCTTTTTCCAATATTTCAGTTTACTGGAAGAAATTCAAACACCATCAACACAACGGATCATGCATATTATCTCGTTTCGGGTATAACTTTTTCAAGGTGAGTAGCATTGAAATACCTATATTTAATTTAAAAAATATAATTCTATTATTAGGTTAAGCAAGAGAATAGCACAAGGCTGTACAAACAACTGACTGATATATAACATACTTACGATATTAATCCATTTGACAAACTCTCTAGTAGTATCTCATAGTGACACTCATCAAAGGTCACTGTGAGATACTACTAGAGAGTTTGTCAAATGGATTAATATTGTATGTTATATATCAGTCAGTCAACATTTTTACTGAACAATATCAGAAATGGATTTCTGAGAATAAATTGAATAAACAAGGCTACCCACCTTCTCATTCTAGAAGAACAAAAAACCAAATCCACCCAAGACCATTTATTAGGTCTAACCAAAATGGCACAAAACATTGTGCGTGCAAGCTTTCAACCTTCATCAGGCTAGATGTTACAAAAAATAGAAGAAGAAGAAGAAAAAACAGAATAACAGGTATAGAGGTTCTGCTATCATTGCATCCCTATGTAAAGATCATTAATCAGAAAACGTTTTGCAAAAGTATGGCCATTGGCTCGATGCGTGTTGGTAACCCCCAAGAGTCACCATGGGATGCTGTCACTGATATTGCTGTAGACAGTTCTTCGTGGTCCATTCTCCATTGGGAATGGGAAGACATTCTTGACTTTTCATCTGTTGCAGGGGCTGCCTAGAAGGAGCCAAAAGAGATGCAGGAATGGATATGATTCAGTGTTCTGTTGAACAAAGATTGGGGAGACTAGAGTTTCCGCACTCTGCCACCAGTGGGTGATCTTTGGCTGGTTGCCTCCTCTTAACCTAAGGGTGGCTGTGATAATAAAATAAGCCCTGGATGACCTTGTTTCCTCCTTGGAGAAAGCCACTATAGGCAATGAGTAATGCTCAGCATCTACAATGGAGAGTATCTAGGCTGAGGCACTAATTGAGTGGTGGTGAGCTGCTACTGGAGAGAGTGGTGCCACTTTGTGATCATCAAGCTTCAATGCCTCCTCATCAACCCTTTGACTTTGATAGATTTAGAAGGGTGTAACTCTGCTTAGGATTGTCACCATAAGCCTCCTCAGCCAGCCCAGCGAGACCATAGGATAGCACTGTATTTACCTCACAACACTGTTTTTCCATGAAGCTTTTGGCAGTACCCCTTAGTTGATCCCCGACCCCCAAACTAAGCTTCAGAATGAATAGCTGGAATAAATACACATTCTTCCTCTGTTTGCCTTCTCCCTACTTCCCACTTTTCCCTATGGAGTCTCCCTTATGTCAAAATTTAAACTGTAAGCTTTCCAGTGCAGGGGTCTGAACTCAGTAACGCTCCATGTACATTGATTGGTCTGTATAAATAATAATGCTAATAGTCCACTTTTCCACAAGCTCGGCCGCAAAAGGCAACTTCTGAAAATATGGAAAAGTAAAATATTTGCCCCTTCTAACAGACAAATAACTGCTGTTGTATGTACGCAACGATCTGTTTTCCTTCATCTTGTGAGACATGAGGAGTTTTTTCCTCAGGCAAATATTTCTATGTCTGGGAGTATTTTATATTGGCAGTTACTCCCAAAACTGAGGACTGTGAGCTGAGTGGATGAAGGGTTAATTCCTTGATGTGTTTCATCCAGATAGGATAACACAGTAAGAGAGAACTGACTACAGTCCTGGCAGTCCCAACAGAGAGCAATCATCAGTAGTTCTCTCCAGTAGGGAAGATCAGTGAGCCTCTAAGCCAATGAAATCTCCATTATTAGATTATTTCCCTGAGATCAGAAGTGAATCACAAGCTAATGTGGTTTCCTTTTATTTTCATGGTCTTTGCTCTTTATCATTTTTATCCTGAGGCAGCTGGACTCTGGCCCCAGCCAAGCCCGCATTTGGTGAAGGCAAGAATCCCAGCTGGCGGAATCTAAAAAGGGAGCCAAACTTTGGCTTTCAGAGGGTACCTGCTAGGAAGTTTCACTTCCTGTGTATAGAAAGAGGGGGGGACAAAATGGTACCTGATAAAGTCATATGGAGGGGGTGATTTTAGAAACACCAGGTGATAGGGTTGCCAACCCCCAGGCAGTGACTGGAGATCTCCCACTATTACAACTGATCTCCAGATGAAAGAGAGCAGTTCACCTGGAGAAAATGGCTGCTTTGGAAGGTGGACTCTTTGGCATTATACCCCATTGAAGTCCCTCCTTGCCTCAAACTCTATCTTCCTCAGGCTCCACCCCAAAATCTCCGGATACTTCCTAACCTAGAGCTGGCAACCCAAGCAGATGACTAGTTTGTTCTGCCTTTTCACCTACTGCAGAATGACAGAATTTCAAAAAATTCTGATCGTTGTCTCTAAACTTGCCACATCCCATTTCCTCCCATGTGTCCAACTGAAATAACGTCCAAAGTAATGGATCGTGCCCTGAATGGGGAGCAAAGAGAGATGGTTGAATGGCAGCAAAGAGTAGCAGTGCAGAAAACCCTCATCAGGTCCTTGAAGGCTTTCTGATGATAATCTCACCTTTACATTTTTAAAAATATCCAAGTTACTGGCCCCTACGGGTTGCAAAAATATACTGACAATACAAACAGATTAAGATCTCCAGTACCCCACAGACTATTTGCCACTTCCCAGGAGTGGCAAAATCAGAATAAATTGTGCAAAACAGTAAAATTGATTATTTTGTAAATCTTCACCATTTATATGGGGGACAATTTAACTTTTCTTTTTTTAGCATAGAGCACATTGGGCTTTCTGTTTTCTCCTGTGTTTAACTGTGACTTCCAGACACCAAGCACAAAAGCTATGCAACTCTTTTTATTGAGACCAACCAAAATAACGTGTTATATTGTACAGGATTTTGAGTTCTCTAGAACTCTTTGTCAGGCTGGAAGTTAAAAAGGGCAGGGGTGTTAAAGCCTCTCCGGTTGCTTCATGCATAGGTTGCTTAGCTGACTTCAGAGGGCACAAGGTACTGACTAGTATCAGACTGTGTCCCTGTCATGCTGGGAAATCCTGTGTCCTTTTGTGTCTTCTGCTGTACCTAAACATGTTCTTCCTGTGGCCTCTTCCCCATCTCTCTCTTTTTTAAAAGGAAGAAACAACTGGAGAAATAGGGATCTCTGTAAGAGTTGAAAGTCCCCAGCTTTGCAGTCATCCACTAGAATATAAAAGCAGAAGAGTGAGCTGTCCTGGGACGTGTCGCAACGAAGACAGGAAGCAGCAGAAAGGAGCTGTCAAACTTCAACAGTGATCTAATTTTCCACATTGGCATCAAGCTGCCTACAGACAGTACGCATGTTCTGTTCGCTTGCTCAAAGACCTGTGTCGTCTGACACCTGGACTCCCTTTTCCAGCACCTGCATACCCTGAAATGTTGCCGTACCGTATGGTTTGTCTATAATAGGGATCTGAAACTGCCAAAAAGGAGGAGAGCAAAGAACCCCTTTTGGACCTTGAATGGCTTGAGGTGTGTTCCAAACACCCACCGCACTGCAGATATGGACACTGGGCTTGCCACACCAACTTCACCATGCTAGTCCATGGGAATGAAAACTTCCTCTATGATGTGGTCTACATTATCTTGGAACTGGTCATTGCTGTGCTGGCGATCTTGGGCAACGTCCTGGTCTGCTGGGCCGTCTATTTGAACAGTAACCTTCAAAACGTCACAAACTACTTTGTGGTGTCCCTGGCGGTGGCTGACATAGCGGTGGGTTTGCTGGCCATTCCCTTTGCCATCACTATCAGCACTGGCTTCTGTGCTTCCTTCTATGGCTGCCTCTTCATCGCCTGCTTCGTCCTGGTTCTGACGCAGAGTTCCATCTTCAGCCTCCTGGCAATCGCCATGGATCGGATTATTGCTATCCGGATACCTCTCAGGTAAGACCAAAGAAGGCTGGCTTTTCATGCATTCCCAAAGGATAAGCTTCAGAGAACCAAATAGGATATTGTTGGAGCCAGCATTGGTGCAACAATGATGGTAACATGAGAGTAGACTTGCAGGATGAAGAGCTGTAGGGCCTAGCCCAACACAGGTGATATCTGCCTGGTTAGACCCACTGCTGCTGTTCTCTGCCACCTCTCCTCATCCTCTTCCGTCCCCTCTGTGAGCAGCCCAGACCCCACTGCCACACCAGGCTTCATCGGACAGGGCTGAGAGGGGAAGGGACTTGCAGTGTTCCCTCTAAGCTGAGTTAGTGTGAGCTAGCTCACAGTTTTTTAACCTCCGGCTCACACATTTTTGTCTTAGCTCAGGAAGGATGGCTCCAAAGCAAACTAGTTTATGCAGTAGCCAAATCGCTGGCTCACAGCTTTAATGCCAGTAGCTCACAAAGTACAGTTTTTGCTGACGATACTCCACAGCTTAGAGGGAGCATTGGAAAGGAGGAGGGTAGGAAGGACACGGAGGTTCTCCCATCATAACAGATCTGTGAGGGAGGGGGGAAAGATGACAGGTGGATGGTGGTGGGAGTGTACTTGGCAACATCAGCACTTCACTCTTGTGACTCCATCGTGACAATGTGTACACATTCATGGCCTAATGAGCAGGACACTTAGGAATACCGGTAAGTGTATATGTGGGAAATGTCACATCTGATTAGACCTGTAGAATGTTGGGTGCATATCTTACCACAGAGTGGATTGCTTGTTACACGGCTCCCTTTCTATACTTGCTAAAGAGGGATGCAGATGACCCACAACTCAGAGATAGAGCCGCCTGCTTTGCATCTGGGAGGTCCCAGACTGAACCCCTGGCATCTCCAGTAGAAGGAAGAGCTGGGGGAAACTGGGAGAACTGCTGCTCATCAGAGCAGACAGTACTGGTTTAGATAGACCAATAATCTGATTCAGTATATAGCAGCCTTGATTGGACCAAGTGTAAAGAAGGACTTTCTTTTAGTGGGTAAGCCACTCCCAAAACCTATTAAATCCCAGTTCCAGGGTGTCAGCTTTGCTAACGAGTTTTGCAGTGTTCAGAGACCTACTTCAACCGGATCTTGTCTTTGTTTGTATTCTGAGCCACCAGCTGCTCTCCCTTGCATTTGCTTGGCCTTTGGGTCTCACTTTGTAAAGGGAGAACTTTTCATTTTCTGGTTTTTCACCTATGCAATTAGGTGACTACCCTATGCAGAGTTACTCCAATCTAAACACAGCTGTTTCCATGGCATTAGACTAGAGCAACTGTGCCTTGCATTTGCCAAAGTGGGTTCTGACCCACAAAAATTGATATCACCTCCTAGGTCTTTGCACCCTTTGGAAATGCGATTGCTCCTGTGTACTTAATTTGTTTTTTTACTGACAACTTGTTCTTAATTGATCCTGTATTTTTTGTTTTATTTTGTGCACCACCTTGACCATTTTTTAAATGGAAAGGCAGGACAGAAATTCATTAAATCGTGTTTTTTTTAATTGGTCTCGAAGGCACTACAGAACTGGACTGTTTTTCTATAGATCCGCTGTCAGTCTGAGAAGACAGCACTGAGCCAGAGTAAACAAAGGGACTGAGTTCTTATGATTGCAGAGAGGTAGCCATGTTAGTCTGTTGTACTAAAATGAGTGGGAGTCTTCTTTCTTTTCATAGTATTTTTGCATTTGTGTGTGTGCCTGTGCCTGGAAGTCATGGTGACCTCTAGCATCTCCTACTGGGGCATAGCAGACATTCAGAAAAGTGGCTTGATAGCCTGCCTCTGGCCTCCCGGCCCTGGTATTCTCTGGAGGTCTCCCATCCAAATGCTGCTTAGCTTCTGATATCTGACAAGATCAGGCTTGCTTGGGCTACCCAGGTCAGGGCAACAGGAGGCTTCTTGTGGCATTTGAAAGACTAACAGTTTTAGTCCAGCATATGTTTTAGTCCCCCACCCCCTTCTTCAGATACAGGGCCTAGCTACATGCCGTACTTATTTACAGGCCCACCCCAGGACCTCTGCAGACGTATGCTTGGAGTTCCATTATGAAACTTGGATTTTTAGATGTGTGGTTGCCCGATATGAATTGCGACTGTGGCACATGTGGAGAGGCTCCACCCCTGTGCTTTTTTTCTCAGCCTGAAATAGCCTGTTAGTACAGTGCATGTGTTTCCCCCATGAGGGAAATAGTGGCTCCCTGGGGATATTTTAGGTCAGGAAAAAGGTAAAGGGGGAAGTAGAAGGCCCCTCTCCCCCGCATGCAGTGTGGTCCCAGTCTGTGTCAGGCTCTCATGCACCTGAGAATCTAATTTTCATCAGGGAACATCCAGCATATATCTTCTTGATATGACCACAATGTTGCCAGGTCTGGGTTGGGAAATATCTGGAGATTTTGGGGTGGACTCTGAGGAGGGTGGGTTTTGGGGCAAGGAGGGTCTTCAGTGGGGTAAAATGCCAAAGAGTCCACCTTCCAAAGTGGCCATTTTCTCCAGGTGAACTGATCTCAATTGCCTGGAGATTAGCTGTAATCCCAGGAGGTCTCCAGCCACCACACGGAGTTGGCAACCCTACATGACCTGCAGTGAACATGGGTCAGACCCATAAACAATGGTAGTTAGGCTTTATGAGTCCTCGCTCAGCTGACATTTTATGTAGATGATGTAGAAAGGAAAATAAGCAGACAGCAGGTCAAGGGGCTATGAGATGCAGGAAGTGAGGATCTAGCCTACTCATAGCGTTTGAAAAAATGTTTTCTAGTCCACAGAGCCTTCCGCTGGAATAAAGGGTCGGCGATCTTTAAAGTGTCACAGGACTCCTGTTTATCCGAGCGGCTAGCTGCATTTAACTTTGCAGCATTTCTGACCTCTTTAGGCTGGAACTGCATGTATTTTGCAATTTTTGTCACACGGCTTAAAAAAACTGATCCCAGATGAAATCTTAGACCACTGTCTTATACTGAGACAAGCTATTGTCCAGTCTGTCTCATGTACTCTGTGCAACACATGTACTCTGCCCCCAAGCTGTGGGCCAAGGAGGGGGGAGGTGGTTGAATAAGGGCCAAACTACATCGGATAACATGGGGTCTCCGAACATATCTCCTATGTAAAAAAAAAATCTGTTGCGGCTGCATGAGACCGTGGTTTGTGTCAGGGCCATGGTGTGGGTGGTGGGATGGGTTGATTCTTTAGTTAGGGGAGAAGCTGTGGCACAATGGTGAAGCACCTGCTTGACATACAAAAGGTCCCAGCTTCAATCCCTGGCATCTCCAGTTCAAAGGACCAGGTAGTAGGTGATGTGAAAGACCTCTGCTTGAGACTTTGAAAGCTGCTGCCAGTCAAAGTAGACAATTTTGACCTTGATAGACCTGACACAGCATAAGGCAGCTCTATGTGTTCCCTTGCCATTTCTGTTATCTGAATAATCCCTTTGGGGTGTTGTTCTTCTCATGAGGAAAATATGCAGGTAGCCATATAGTACTGAATAATAGGCCCAGGGAGAGGATTTAGATTTTGAAAGTGGCACTTGTGCTACGGAGGGTAGATTTAAAAAACAACAACAACACAAAACTCTCTCTCATGGCTTGGTCTGAACCAGTGCCTTGAATGACTGTAAGGTAATATTTTTTAAAAAAGCGGGAAATCCATTCATGGCTGTTCCATCATCACTTCTCAGGGATCAGAAGGAACCAGTGCTCCCCCCACCCACACCCACCCCGCCACTATCAGAAATAGCCTCAAGTTACTTTGGGAAACATCTGAAGTATGGCCTGTTCCGGCTAAAAACCCAGTCCTCTCTATTGCTACTTGTGTTGTGTTGAATGACTCTAGATCTGTTTTTGTGTGGTTTTTTTTTTTGGTTTTTTTTAGCCACTGAGTGATGCTAGAAGATTCTGTTTGTTGAGAGGGTCAGTGAAGACCTGCCCCCGTGCATGTCTGCAGAAGGGCTTGGCTTTGATGGTTTTTCGCAATTCTCCCAGCCTGCTTGAGAGCGACTCCTCAGAGAGCAACAGGGCGCCTGGGGGCAGGGAGGGGGGAGAGTGTGCTGGGGAGCTCTCTCTCTCTCTCTCTCTCTCTCTCTCTCTCTCTTTGGTGGCGAGAGCGCTCGCTCGCTCTCTCTCTCTCTCTCTCTCTCTCTCTCTCTCTCTCTCTCTCTCTCCAACCGTGGGACAACAGCTGGGCAAAGACCAGGCCAGTTCTTAGTCTTTTATTAAATTTTGTACGTGTCTTCCGGCAATTTCTTTCTCCTCCCCCTCCTCCCCTTTGATGATTGTGTCTCTTCAACATACGATTTAAAAGCTCAAGTGGGACTTCCAGTGCCCTCAACCAAAGCAGAGGTTGGAGACAGAAATGCTGGGAAATCCTTTCCCGGAGGAGGAGGAGGAGGAGGAGGAGAACAAGAGGCCACATTTTCTTAATGGGCCACTTTTAATAATCGTTCATAAACTGACACTGCTTACCCAGTGTGTGGAAGACAAAAGGAGTGTCCCTTTCTTAAATTTCAGCTGCTTAAAGAAGCAGCCTCAGTGAAATTGATCAGGCAGAAAAATTGACCAGGAAAAATTTGAGCAAACTTCTTGTTGGTAAGGCACAGAATCATCCACAAATGAAGTCTGGAGGGGCCGGCAGTTAAGCTATTGAGGCTTCCAAAAGTCATCATAGTATCAGGAAGGGGCTTCTTGCCTCCTAAGGAGGAATTCTGGGGCTGTGTTCAGGCACCTTTGAGTGGGCGATGCCATTCCTGGCCTGCTCTTTCTGACTCAGGCCAGCTCTTTGGCACCAAGGACTGCAACCTGATCCATTACCAGCATTCAAACCCCAGCTGAGCCACATGGGTGGTCTTGAGCAAGCCCTTCTCTTTGGGACTCCTGAAAGGCTCGGACAGACATGATCCTGGGAGTGTCACAGACGAATCTCCTAACATGTTTCCCCCTCTGCAAGTTAGATACGAAAGAAACTAACTCAGATTGGGACTGTGGTAAGGGGAGGAGGGTTAAGTCCAGTGCTCCCTCTAAGCCGTGGAGTCTTGTGAGCAAAAATTCTACTTTGTGAGCTACTGGCATTAAAGTTGTGAGCGAGCGATTTGGCTACTGCTCTGGAGCCATCCTTCCTGAGCTAAGACAAAAATGTGTGAGCCAGAACCTAAAAAACTGTGAACTAGCTCACACTAACTCAGCTTAGAGGGAACACTGGTTAAGTCTGCACATGTTCCCTATCTGAAATGGCTCCAGGAACCCACTTACAGGAGAAACATACAGGACCTTTGCAAAGTGGAGAAAAATAGCCTGCCTCACAGGTTAGTTGTGAATGAATGATGCACAGGTTGTATAGTATTTGAAACCTTTACAATCCCCCCTATGAACGATACTGTGGATTACAGCAGCTTCTCTCCTCTGCAGGGGCTTAACCTTCCTCCTGGGAGAGAGAAGCCAGCTGTGTATAGGGGGGGGAGAACAGAAAGTGGTTTTGTTTTTGTTTTATTAAGTGTTTGTGAAAGGAATTTAGAGATGGAGAAGGCAGGGAGCCTGGGAGCCTGACTCTACCTCGGACAGATCACACGCACACGCAAGGCTCTGCTAGGAGTGGAATGGCATGCCAGGGCAGGGCTGGGAGGCTGCTGCTGATCACCTCCTGTTCATGTGGCCAACAGAAGCTAAATTGGATGCCTACTCTTATCATAAAAGTGATCTGGTCCAAGGCTCCCACAATCAACTCAGGATTGGGGGTGGGGGAGTTGTCACATGTAAAGAATACTATTTTCCAGTACTAGTTTCCAATAAAGAGTACTAGTTTCCAATATTCCTTGCATTACACTCAGTATTCTAACTGTTGACCCTATAACCTTAGCTTGTTGTTAATTTTGTCTTTGCATATCTTAAAACATCTTTATCATGTTACATGTTCATTTGCTGTTCAGCCCCTGTCTATAAGTTTGAACTCTTACCTTCTGTTCCAGTGTGTTTGATAAAGTGTGCCTTGCACACGAAAGCTCATACCTTGAATAAACCTTTGTTGGTCTTAAAGGTGCCACTGGACTCTAATTTGTTATAAAGAATAATAAAGAATAATGTTACACTTCCCTGGGTAGTGAGAAATTCCAGAGGAAGCGCTTCCAGGTTTTTCTTTCCTTTGCCTGAGAAAGCATTGGAGACATGTGGTCTTTTTGAATTAATTGCTTTGTTTACAGATATACAAGTGGACAGAAGTGGGCAGTCCTGCAAGGCAGCCAGTCCCCTTGCCATCAGTTCCCCAGACAGGAAAGTGCACCCCAAAGTGGTCAGCCTACAGTTATCTCCTTCAAAAACAGTTGAGAGAGAGCTTTGGCTAGCAGGAGACTGTCTCCTAATAACTAGTTCCCACTGAGGAAGCATCAGCCGGACATTGAGGGCCTAATGGATGGATAAGCCAGCAGCTGTAGCAGGATGTTTGGCTCCCAGGTCAATTTAAAGATATATGCACAACAGAGAATAAATGCACAACAGAGAATAAATTGACAGGTTCACAATAATTTTTTTTTTTAAAAAGTTGATTGATTCATGCGTTGCAAAGTTCTTTCCCCATCACCAATATGTGTTTTGCCTTTAGCCTAAAAATATATCCCCTTGTGCAATTCCCCTTGGCAACAGTTTGGTGTAGTGGTTAAGTCTGCGGACTCTAATCTGGGAGAACCAGGTTTGATTCCCCTCACCTCCACTCGCAGCTGCTGGATGACCTTGGGCTCTTCTTCCTCCTCCTCCTCCTCCTCCTCCTCCTCCCTGATTTGCCTCTGGACCAGGAGGAAGTCAGGCATGCAGCTGGAAGAGAGAGAGGCTGCTCTCTTTGAGGGTTGCTTGAGCAAGGTGCTTCCTTTCTCCCAATGGTTTATCCCAGTCTCCTCCCCCTGCCACCGAGACAGTAGAATGGGAGGGCTGCAAATCTTCAGGTGGGATCTGGAGATGTCCTGGAATTAAAGCTGATCTCCAGACCACAGAGATCAGTTCCCATGGAGACAATGGGAAAGACTATGTTTGTCTGTGACTCCCGCTGCTTGGCAAGGGGCCACTGTTAACAGCAAAGAAAGTCTGGCTTCCACACCTATTTTAAAGGTTCAGACAAAAATGCCAATCACTGGCAAGTTGTGGGAAAAAAATCTCTTCTTTTTGCCCTTGTTTTAGGTCCCATCCTACTTGTCCCTTAGTACAAACTGCAGATTAGAGTCCTGCCACATGTCATTATCTGGGGCAATTAGCCTAACAACTTTGTTGAATTGTTTTTTAATTGTTTTTAGCAAAGATACTAATGTTAACAGTAACCCCAAAGCATGTCTACGAAATTCTGCCACTTTTCCTTGTGATAATGTCCAAGAAGCTCTTACCACTTGTAGGGTTGGCCTTTCTCTCATCATGTGTTCCACAAGATCTTTGGGTGGACTTAAGCAAGCAGCTTCACACCACACTATCTGTTCCTTGCATCTTCCTTCAGTCACTGGCTAAACTGTAGTGGTGTCATGAAATGTTCTCAAATTCCCTGACTTTTGTGTAGAAAGAGTCTATAGAATGTTCACAAAAGGCGCAGTTTATGGGAAGAAGTTAAAGGCCACTTTGGCTGCAAGAAAGTTTACTTATGTTTATTTATTTATTTTATTTATACCCTGACTTTCTCCCTAACAAAGACCCATTTTCTGTTTTCCTCACAACAACTCCATGAAGTAAGTTTGCTTGTGACATGTGACTGGCCCAGGGTCACCCAGCCAGTTTCCCTGGCAGAACTGGGATTTGAACCTGAGTCTCCCAGATATAATGTGACACTCTAGCCCCTATACTTTGTGAGACAGACCTAAGGGAAGGAAGGACTGGGTACAGGAATGTAAGGAGGTATTCTCAGTGCCTGACACCTATAAAGTGCACAGGTTTCTTTACTGAGCGGGGACACACTGTAGTGTATCATGAGACTCTTATGCATCATTCTAGCATTAAGAACAAAAGTGCCAGAGGTGTTTTTTCTTAATATGAATTAAGCATTGTCATATGTTTTCTGGGAAATCCAGAGAATCATAGGGCATATCTACGCTACACTTTTCATCTAGTTTAACAGTGATTTCCCCCTCATCTGCTAAATGGATTTGTGATTTCTAGCAGAGTTCTCACCGCCCTCATCAAACTACAGTTGTGGGGGGAGGCTGGGACAGGTAAACTGGCAAAAAACAAATGCAAGTTTTTGATGGATATGGGCGGATGGATTACTAGAGCTCTGGGTCGGGGGCATCTTGACCAGCTTCCTGTTGACAGAGGACCCGCGGTATATTTCAAAGGTGCAGGAGGGAGTAGTGAGTGGTGGGTTTAATTTGGTGTTTGTACTCTGTCAATATTGTCCTGCATTGGAACTGAAACTAGGCCAGATTTTATGTGCTGACTGTCCCTTGTTCTCCTGCCAGGTACAACGCTTTGGTGACCAGCTCACGGGCGAAAGGCATCGTAGCCATCTGCTGGGTCTTATCCTTCATCATTGGCCTGACACCCATGCTGGGCTGGCACAAATGCTCCTCGGAAAGCAAAGGGCAGAACAGCTCACTCGTCAGCAGCTGCAGCAATAACAGGGTGGCTTGCTTGTTTGAGTCGGTTGTCACCATGGAGTACATGGTTTACTACAATTTCTTTGCCTGCGTGCTCGTCCCCCTCCTCCTCATGTTTGGCATCTACCTGAAAATCTTTATGGCAGCCCGGCGGCAGCTCAAACAGATGGAGAACAACATGGTTCACGGAGAACGGTCCCGCTCCATCTTGCAGAAGGAGGTCCACGCGGCCAAGTCTTTGGCTATCATTGTCGGCTTGTTTGCTGTCTGCTGGCTTCCTTTACATATCCTCAACTGCTTCACCATCTTCTGTCCACTCTGTGTGCGTGCTCCACCCTGGGTAATGTACTTAGCCATCATCTTGTCCCATGCTAACTCTGTGGTGAACCCGCTGATCTATGCATACAGGATCAGGGAGTTCCGGCACACCTTCCGTAAAATCATTGGGCAGCACATAATGGGCAAGAAGGAGCAGTTCAAGCCTGCCACTGCCAGCCGGAGGACTTCCATTCATGATGGAGATGCTGAGCATTCCAGCATACGGATTAGCATGCGTGCTCAGAACTTCTACACCAGCGGGGACTCGGACAGCGTCCACACTGAGAGCGATTTGGGGAAAAATGTGGCCCTGGAGTGGCACCAGAACGGAAATGCGTTGGATGGGGAAGCAAACGGACATATCCCACATTCCTGCAACAACGGGGACCTCTTAAACGGCCCCAGCAAAATAGAGCTGCTCAGCAAAGAGTACGTCGGGGTTGACGTTTCCTGATGCCTCACAGGAAGTCCATCGGGGTTCCTGTCACTTTGGCTAGCACGGAGGCATCACCGTTAGAAGCCTCTGACGTTTCCTGATGCCTCACAGGAAGTCATCCTTCTGGAACGGAGTCTTTTCCTTCCTTAGTTGAAATGTAAAACGTTTGGGTCATGATTAATGGAAGGGGGAGGAGTCCCTGCCTGAACTGCCAGAAAGGCTTTGAGAACTGCATGAGGAGAGAGGTCTGGCGAAAGGAAAGCGCCATGAGGTGTTTTACCTTTTACAGACCCAGCTCATGGGCAAGGAGGAAAAAAAGGCCAGACTGGACAGAGGGGCATGTGCTTTTGAGTCTCAGAAGGAGAGGCTGTTGCAGTATCATCGTGTTCTATCTCTTGTGCATCCACGGCCATGTCTGGCATGGCCTGGTTGTACTTAGCAAAAAGAAATAAAAGTGCAGCTGGAAAGATGCTTCAGTGTACCAAGGCAGAGTGGAAGGGGAAACGGCTTGAGTCTGTCTATAATTGTAGGAGCAGGTGGGTTTACCTTCCTCAAGGGCTCCTAAAGCAGCACTGCTTTGCAGATGTGCTTTTGAGTCTCAGAAGGAGAGGCTGTTGCAGTATCATCGTGTTCTATCTCTTGTGCATCCACGGCCATGTCTGGCATGGCCTGGTTGTACTTAGCAAAAAGAAATAAAAGGGCAGCTGGAAAGATGCTTCAGTGTACCAAGGCAGAGTGGAAGGGGAAATGGCTTGAGTCTGTCTAGAATTGTAGGAGCAGGTGGGTTTAGGGCTCCTAAAGCAGCACTGCTTTGCAGAAACGTTTGGGTCATGATTAATGGAAGGGGGAGGAGTCCCTGCCTGAACTGCCAGAAAGGCTCTGAGAACTGCATAAGGAGAGAGGTCTGGCGAAAGGAAAGCGCCATGAGGTGTTTTACCTTTTACAGACCCAGCTCATGGGCAAGGAGGGAAAAAAGGCCAGACTGGACAGAGGGGCATGTGCTTTTGAGTCTCAGAAGGAGAGGCTGTTGCAGTATCATCGTGTTCTATCTCTTGTGCATCCACGGCCATGTCTGGCATGGCCTGGTTGTACTTAGCAAAAAGAAATAAAAGTGCAGCTGGAAAGATGCTTCAGTGTACCAAGGCAGAGTGGAAGGGGAAACGGCTTGAGTCTGTCTATAATTGTAGGAGCAGGTGGGTTTACCTTCCTCAAGGGCTCCTAAAGCAGCACTGCTTTGCAGCACTTCCTTACGTTTGCCAGGGTGGGACTAGGTTTGCCAGCTTCCCGGTTGGGCCTGGAGTTCTCCCAAAATGACAACAGATCACCAGACTGGGGTTGCCAGTCCCCAGGTCCCAGCAGGGGTTCCCACAGTTTTCGTGGCTTCTGCCTGCCACTGGCCAGCTGGTGGTGACATTGCTGTGTGGCGTCCCTGATCCGATGATTTCACCCGAAAGTCCCGTCATCACATCAGGCGTTGCATGGTGATGCTCTGGCGTGAGAGCATCAGGCATTGCATGGTGATGCTCTGGCGTGAGAGCAAAACCTTATGGTTTGAAGCTGGTTTTACCGTAGATTCTTGCCCTCAAACCAGAGAATCGCTGCCCAACGTCCCTGGCGTGATGACATCACTTCTGGTGTGACATCATCGCATTGGGGATGTGCCAGAACACCCTGCCAAATCCCCCTGCCAGCACGACGAGCAGACCTGGCAACCCTACTCCAGACTAGACAGATCTGTTGCCCTGGAGAAAACGGCAACTTTTTGGAGGGCGGACTCTATGGCATCACATCCCTCCCCAAACTCTTCCCTCCCCAGGCTCCACCCCCAAATCTCCAGGAGTTTCCCAACCCAGAGTTGACAGCCTTAGTGGGAGCTAATTCAAAATCCTATCCTCCAATCCAAACCTCCCAAACTCAAGCCTTGTTTCACAACCTCTTAACTCTCTCCACATGGGCAGGAGCTGTTAACCCAAAGGGTCAAACTGATCTGCTGCCTCCTTGTGTGCCTATTAATTAGCCTTCCTCTGAAAGGTGGGGTTGATCCCCCCCCCCAAGCATAATCCTGTGAGAAGAGAACTGTTGTAAACATGTCTTTATTGTCATTTGTGAACTGTTGGGGGTTATGTCCTTAGTGTTAAAAATGGGAGCACTTGGTGAATGCCCTGGAGGTTAACTCCTTTATGTGCATATTTGCTTCCTTCTGTAATATCATGTATTCTGTTTCCAATGTCTTAGGAGCAGAACACTCATAGTCAGAAGTACATCAAAAGACTGCATTATCACATTGTGTAGGCCAAGAGTGGGCTGCCTTCAGTCCTGCACGGTTCATTTTATTTTTGTTTTTTCTTTCCAGAATCCTTGTGGTCTGGTGCTGGTGTTTTAAATTCACAAAGCAAAAGCACATGTTCTGTTAACAGTTAAGGCACAACTATGGTACTTACTCCAATGCAAGACTATTTCCCCCCCACATATGCCATAAAATGGGAGGGGGGGTCTTCTTACATTTGCACATATGTTACAGTTATGTCCAGTAAACATATTTTGTTGGTGCATAACTTGTTTTTGGGGAGGTCTTATATTCTGAGTTCCCTTCCTTTCAAGTAAATATGGTCATTTGTGTTATCTGATTCTGCCTGTGAAGCTTTTCCTTAAGGCAACGCTTTCTTGGATCAGACAAAGGTCCGTCAAGAATTTACTGATGCTCAGTGGCCCAGTGGAAATTGCCTAGTAGCCAATGTGGCCCATTGTCTACATTCTACCCACCTCTGTTACAGGGTCAGGGTAGATCAGCTCACATACTAATAATAGGTATCCAAGCTAAAATAAATTCCTTACATAAATGCAAGCAAACATGCAACTAAAAATAACCTCATGCTTTGGCAGCTAAAAGCCAGTTTTCTGGAAGAGGGGATGTATGTTCTTCAGCAGACTTCCAGGGAAGGAAAGTGTGAACTGGAAATCAAACCCTGAGAACCTTCCTCTCCCCCAGTACAAGTTGTTACCACCAGGGGTCGTTTCGTAGAAAAAGAGCTAGGGGAACTCATTAGCATAACTCATTAGCATATGCCACACCCCCTGACATCACCGGAAGTGTGTCATAAGGCCATACCCCCTGACATCACCGGAAGTGTGTCATAAGGCCATACACACCAATTCCAACAGTCCCGGCCGCCGCCGCCAGCCTTGCAGCTCCACTGCCGAGCCCCATGAGGGGCCCGGTGGTGGACCGGCCTCAAGGCCGGCGGGAGTGCAAGGAAGCCCCGCGAAGGCCCTCCCTGGCCCCAGGCAGGCAGGGGTGGGGAGAGGCAGGGAGGAAGCAACTTACCCTCCCTCTTCTCCTGCCTCCTCCTGGCTGAATGAGCCGGAAGCGGGGGGGGGGCGGAAGCAGGGGGGGCTTCGTCATGTGCCCTGCCCCCCGTACCTCACTCGGGGAAACTGTGATCCCCCCCAATCCCCCCCGAAATGACCTCTGGTTACCACCCATCATTTCCATGGGCTTGGCTGCTAAGGGCTGGGTAATGCTCTCTTTACTGCTGTGATGTCATTCAGATCAGGTGACCGTGGTGACCCTGTGAAGAACAAAATTCCAGCCTCACAATTATCACATGGAAACATTTTAATGGCAAACTGGACTTGACCACCTGCTCAAATACAAAGATGACCTCCTCCCAAAGTTTTGCCCTTCTTTTCTTCATCCTTGAACTATTGACGATGGTGTAAGACTAATATTCAGCCAATATCAGCCTTAGGACTGACAGTCCCTCCCCAAATAGTGCCATGTTTTGAGATGAAACATGTTTGCCAGACAAAGCAATGACTCTTCCGTCACCACAGCCTTTGGTGAAAGGGATAAGCAAATATGGAAACAATGGCTGAGACACTTGAGTTGTGTTGCTGACATCAGAGGATTATCTCCCCTACACACACCCACAGACTCACCCACCCCCACCCATTGTGCCATTTTCCCTCATGTTCCCTCATGTCAACAGTTGTCTCTTGTCTCACTTTTGCTTCTGGCATTTTTTCTGGTGGATCACATTTGGGGTATTTCCCCCCCCCCCACACCCCCCACTAGAGCTGAATGGCTCTTCGTTTCTTTTTGTCTTTCTGCATAACTGCCTTCAAAATGCACCCAGGGAGATGGGTCTCTCTCTGCTAATCTTTCCAGAGACCGGGAAGGATAAGCCAAGCCGATCCTTGGGTCAGTAACCCTGAAATCCACACACAGAATGAACTGTGGGAAAATACCAGTGCAGTCTGTGCTGGAGGAAAAAGCCACGCGCCAGAGCATCCCAGTATGTGCCTGTTGTCCACATGCTGGCCTCTCTCAAATGCTGTATCAGTTTTGAGTTTTAGAACAAAGTTTGAGTCCAGTGGCACCTTTAAGACCAACAAAGTGTTACTCAGAGTATGAGCTTTTGTGTAGCACGCACACTTCCTTAGATACAATGAAATTTTGTGAGAGCCAAGATTGACTGCCCAGAGAACTGCTCTGCCAGGATATCGGACTGTTTGGTGTATATTTGTATGTGTGTTTGAGAGAGGGGGAGGTAAAAAAAAACACCACAGGAACACACAGTCCAGACTATACCTTTTATTACAACCAATCAAAATGGCACAAAACAGTGTATAAGCCTTTAAGGTCACCAGATCTCTTCATCGTACCAGCTGTAGTAAAGGATAAAGAAAAGGAGTCGAGGGAAGCAGATTATCTTAAGACCTGTTCATGTCAACATCCTGTGCTTGATGCTGTGCATGCTTGCAGGTTTTAAATGGTGCTGGTGTAAGGTGGTACCTTTCGCTTTCTGGGTTCGAGAAGCAAATAGTTTCCCCCCACTGAAAACAAAAAGCCAGCAACGATGAGAAGGGGTGGTACAAACTGCTTGTTATATAAATTATTGCATTTCTATATGGATTTTTCAGGAAAGGTGAATGAGGAAGGGCTGGTTATAGATCTTCCCTGGGAAATGTTCTGACATTCTGTTCTCAGCTTTTTCACTCCTTTGTTTTGGTGCTGT